TTACAGATGAGGAAATGGAGGTTCTCAGAAATAACTTTCCCAAGATCACAAGAATAGGTAGCTAAGCCAGGGCTTGAATGTAGGTATATCTGATTCTGCAGCCCAAATTCCTTTTGCTTTGCTATGCTATCCTCAGAGTCATCCATGATGCTCACAGCTTAGCTGTGGAGATAGAGAAACAGATGAATGCTACCTGAACAATTAGTGAGCTAATACAGGTTTGTATAAAGTTCTCTTGGGGACATATGGAAGGGAAGAATTTGTTCCCTCTGGGGGAGGTGAGAGCTGGAAAGGGTTCATAAAGTTGCCAGAATGCTTAGGGATTTGTTAACTGGTTCCATAATGAAGGTTCAAAGTAGAAAATAGTTTCCTGCATCAAATACTGGTGGTTAGCTTTAGGGCCACCACAGCCATTCCCCAGGTCACCACCGTTTCCAAATTGTCCCATCTGGGTGCCAGAATTTTAGCTCCAAATGCCTGCTGGTACCTGCATAAGTGACAGCTAGTAACCAGGCAACCGAGTCAGCATATTGGTTCATTAAAATCATATTTGTGTGCGTGTGCATATGTGAAAACTACTTTACATAATCACATTTTTAATCTCATATAATATACTTTAAATTTAAGTGAAATCAATGCACTTTCAGGCTCATGGCTGTATGGAATGGGTCAGGAGCTCCTAATTATGTGTTAGCATCTCTTCCTGCCCTTGTCCCTTCACTGGGAGCCTCCCTGGAGACGGCTTTCTCCATTCTCTCCTTCAGGGAATTAATCTATTTTCTAGGCATGAGTGACTGTAAAATTCCCATAAAATTAAGCTTGAACCTACAAGCAAAGAAAGGCTTTAAAATGTATTGTATAATATCTTCTTTGTCTGCTCCAGAGGGCATTTGTGAGGGAAGCACAGTGGGCGGCCGGATACTGTTGGAGGAGCTCTGGCACCAGGCAATTAGGATGATGCTAAACTGATCCATTTCCTAGCTGTGTGGCCTTCGGCAAGTTACTTAACGTCCTTAAGCGTATATTCCTGATCTATAAGAGGGTGAAAAAAATAGTATCCTAGTTATAGGACCTTTGAAAGGATTAAAGAAATCATGCAAAAGTACTCCGTAACTAACCGGCTTGTTATAAGTAACCACAGGTGCTAGTTGTGATGACAATTATTATTATTCTCATCATTAGCAGGATGAAGGAATTTAGTGACAGTGATTTGAAACCTGTGAAACACTATGAAAACATGAAATATTATTCTTGTGTACGCTGCCGAGGAGTGAGATCCAACAAGCATGGTAGAAAGAGCAGGGAACTAAAAATTTAAAAAAAGTCCAATATTAATTAATCTAATGCCACACTTGCTACCATCTAGCAGCTTGATCTTGGGCAACCCCCGCCCCACTTCCTCTTCTCTCTCTCTCTGAGCCTTTGCCTTTTCTTTTCCTTCCTTCCTTCCTTTCTTTTTAAATGAACCACTTTGACTAGATGATCTTGAAGATCCATCCCAACTCAGAAATTCTGACTCCATGACTATTGGAACAAATGACTCATAGCAAATCTTACGGTTCCTGGAATGGAGAAGGTGGTCAATATGCGTTATTATGTAGATCAATGGCTAAAATGTCTCTGAAGTTAAAAAAAAAATATTGCCTCTAATGGCAATACTGACTTAGATCAAAGGAAGATCAGATTATGCTCAGTGACGGTAAATTTAAGGAAATAAGTGTAAGAAACCTCAACAGTTTTCTGGATTTGTGGCTTTGGATAGTTACGTTGCACTGACACCTCTCCTCTACAGTTTTTAGGGCTCCTTGCTTCCTAACCTTCCTAACCACTACTGAGTACCTGCTGTGTGCTAGACTCCATGGTGAACTGGGAGGCTATGGAGATAGCTTCTCTTCTGAAGGAGCTGAGCTTCTACTGGGGAAGGATTTAATGGTAGAGGATACGTGCACATTCCCAGTGCGGTTCTGTATGGTGCTTATATTGTTTGTGTGTCGTTTGTCTACTATTCTGTGAAAACATAGCTGTTTGTGTATTCAGCTTTGGCTGGCTTCTCCACCCTCCGCCCTCCAGCAGCTTCTATGATGTTAAATATTATCTCTCCATGTGAGTTGTACCAGAAGGAAGACTCATCTGTTACTCTTTTACTTCCTTAATGAGCCCTCAAGCTGGTTTGCAGGGCGGCTATTGATCCCTTTTCACTTTTTTTTCTTTTCCAGAGAACTGATCAGTCCTGATGTAGCTGCTTGAGCTTAGTTCCTTCCAGAATTCAAATTTTATTTGTTCTGTCTCCACTTTCCATCCCTCAATGAAACCAAATAGCCGGGAACAATGACCAAAAGTAGGCAGTCAGGTGTGGTGACAGCACTTTGATGGATAAGCTAAATATTTCTTTTGCTACTATAGCAACTACTGTTAAATACCTTGTCACTTGCCTTGGACTGCTCTTTGAAACTGTGAAATTTATTTTGCATATAAATGCTTAAATCACCTCAATTACCTAAAATACTTTCATCTCCCTTCAAGATCCTTTTTAAAGGGATTTTTACTATGTTCTTCAGATATTTTCATAAATGTAGAATGAAGTATTGATTGATTTTTTTCTCCACACTTATTGATCTTTCACATTCCCAGAGAATGAAAAGTTTATTCTGAAAAATCATAATGTTTTTCTATAAAAACATTTAATTAAAAATAAAAGACTTGATGCTTAAAGATACCTCCAATTATCTGGAAAATTAATACTAGGTAACTGAGCACTCATTAACACTTCATGAGAGAATATCTATTAAATGCCTAAAAGTGTCAGGTATTATGCAAATACTATAAACATACAGGAGATTAAGAAATAGTTGCTGCTTTTAAGGAGCTCAATTAAATATTCTTGCTTTATCCTTATATTAATACCTTAATAAGATGTTAATATATCTAAATATTTCACAAAACACTTTCCATAAGTAACAACTCATTTCATTCTTAGAACAATCAACTGTAGTTTCATAGGTTATAAAGTTGAGATTTCTTGTTGCTCATTGTTTGGATACCAGAATGCTGGGGCCTTAGGTTCTGAACTCAGGGCCTCACATATGCTAGGCAGGTGCTTGGCCACTGAGCTACACCCCAACCCAAGGATGTTCATTTTGATTTGACAGTGTTAGTATGTCTCCATTATTCCTGATTTTTCATTCTATCATGCTGTGGATGGAACCCAAGGCCTCAGGTGTGCTAGGAAAGGGTTCTGAGCCACAAACCCAACTCCCTGGTTTCATTTCAGGTGCTTAATGATTAACAGTTTACAAAATGAGAATGCTTTCATGTTGAATTGTGAACTGAAGTGTTTTTCATCTCACCTTCTAGTCACTGTTTCTTTTCTCTTGCAGCGGGGGTTAAAATGACTCCTCAAATTCCCTGGGAGTGCTTTTAAAATAAAAATAACTCCTACTATATAACCAAAGTGGGTACTTGCTCTTAGATTCGCTGCCCTCAAAGCCTTTAGGCCATAATCTTTGGAAGTCATTTCTACTTCATTTGTGATCTCCACTTTTTCCTTTATTCCATTCCTGATCATGCCTTCCCAGTGCATCCTTTTTCTTTAATTTTTTTTAGTTGTAGATGGACACATTAGTTTTATTTGTTTACTTATTTTTTATGTGGTGCTGGGGACCAAACCCAGGGCCTCATGCATTTGAGGCAAGCGCTGTACCACTGAGCTACAACCCCAGTGCATCCTTTTGATGGAAGAGTTACTGAGGTCATCAAGAGTCACAAAGGGTAGCCAGATGCTATTGCATATGTCCGGAAATCCAGCAGCTTGGGAGGATCCCAAGTTCAAGGCCAGTCTTAACAATGTAGCAAGACCTTGTCTCCAGATAAAAAATATAAAGGGCTAGGAATGTAGTTAAGTGGTAAAGCAAATCCTGGGTTCAATCACCAGTACCCCTGGTCCCCCCCCCAAAAAAAAAAAAAACAACCACCAAGGGTCAATGACAAAACCACACAAATAGATAGAAAGCTGGATTTGAACCTGAACCTAAGATCCATAAACCCTTTGACCAGATGTCTTTTAAAGACTTGTTATTATCTTTAAATGCTACAGTCTAGTGATAAGCATGTGCCTTTTATATATTGCTAATATATAAATAGTTGATTACTGTTAGAGGTCCACTTAATTTTAATATTTCACAGATAATGCTTTTATGTTTTAGTTCTCCAAGAGTGTGCCTCTTCATCTAGGTGGTCACTGAATCAATATTTACCGAGCGTCTACTAAGTGCAGACGTAATATAAGCTTTGGGAACGTGAAAATCTCTAGATTTTAGCCTGACATTCATTGGTAATACTCTTTGAATTTGTGTAGGTTTATTCAATATCTGATCATTAGTAACAGTTAAGTTTTAGTGTAATTGATCCTGTGTGAGAAAATTAGTAACAAGAACTGAACCCTAGCAAGGTGTTCGAATGCAAACATCAAAGACTTTACCTATGAATTCAGAGTTTCCTATTATCTTCTGTGATACTGGAGAATCAACGAAAAGTGTTCTGTCTCTGAGCTACATCCTCACCCCTTTTTTAAATTTTATTTTTGAGACAGAATCTCGCTAAACTGCTGAGACTGGCCTCAAAATTGCAGTCCTTCTGCTTCAACCTCAGCAATCCCCGTAATTGGGATCACGGGCGTGGGGCAGCGCGCGCAGCTGTGAATTTGGGATTTCTTTCGTGCAGAGGACCCAAGAACCGCTAATTGACTGTTGCCAAATGTGATTTTAAAATTCTCCCAAATCTACGAAAATGACAACGAAGGATGATCTAACTCTTTTGCTCGTTTTTTTCCATTTTCCCCTCTGGCGGGCTCCAAGTTCAGGGAGGCCTGGGGGAAGAAGGGACTAGGACGCCCCAGCTACAAGCGGAGAGCTGCAGAGCCGCGGCCACCGCCCCGCCCGCTAGAGTCCCGGCGGGCGCGGGGCGTGTCCCGGACGCCTTCCGCTCCCGGGGCGGGGCGTGGCCGCAGTGTCCGGTCTTCCTGCAGCGCTCTGGCCACTCCCTCTAGCGTCCAGTCTGCCGGCCATGGCGGCGCTGCTTTGCAGACGGTCACTCCCTCGGACGTGGCTCTGCAGGTGCCATGCTGACTCCCCCACCCTACAGGCAGCCCCGGGGTGCGCCCGAGGGCGGCCTGAGTGACCAGCCCCTGTTCCCTGATGCAGGAGAGCTGGGCAGGGCTGTGGCCGGCACTACCGCGCCGCGCTTTGCGCCGAGCTGAAGCAGCCTCTGGCCATTGAAGAGGTGGCCCGCCGCCCTGTCCGACCCCACGAGGTAGGGTGGCTGGCCAGTCCCTGGGCCCCCGTGACCCACGGCAAGCGTCCTGCCTGAGTCAGGTTCCCAGGTCCCAAGCTAGGGGGCGACCGAGAGACTGCAGCGCAACTTGGTCCCAGGGCTAGAAGGTCAAGCCCCTGCAAGGTTCACGAAAGGGTCAAAGCGCTAAGGAAGATTGTTCCCCAGCACACTCGTGTAGGCCTCTTTCTGAAGATTCCACATCTGTTTCCTTAGAAACAGAAAACTGATTTGCACACGACTGCACAAACACCTGCCAGTTACTGATGTAACAGATAAACGGACCCTCTCTTGTCCTTTGTTCCTTTTCAGTGTCCTGTCAAATTAACTGCCCTTCCATCTACCCCAAACCCTTACGCTCCTCTCTGGGGTACTGCAGTAATTTGGGATGGATTAGTTAAGGCCAGAGGGCAGTTTCACTGAAATGTGGAAGTCTCTTTGGCCTTGCCTGTTGGCCATTCTGGTAACATAATGTTACTACTGTGGAGCATGAGAATCTGTGCCAGGGGGAAACCAGTGGTGAGCCTCAGTGTCTGGGGACCACAAGTGTGAGGGAGAAAGGCAGCTGCAGGGCTGAAGCGACTCTAAGGTGGAGCCTGCGGCTAAATGGATTATTTGGAGGAGCCGGAGATGGCAGCCAGACTGCTTCCTGGGATTCTCATGCTGAGAGAGCTCATCCTTGGGTCAGTCTCAGATCAATGTGGAGTGGCTTTGAGGAGCACGTGTGCAGGATGCTTGTCAATAACTAATGTGTCATGCCCGCAGTGTGTGCAGGCTGAGGGCTGGGTTCCTTTGTTCTATTTGTCCAGACATTACTTTGTAAGGCATTAGCTCATGAGACCTGAAATTATGTTATTTTTATCCACCATTAAATCTCTTTACTGTAGATTGGTGCTTGGCATGTGACAGATGCTTAGATTGCTGAATGAATGAATTTTTTTTCTTTTGTAGATAAAAATGTCTTCTCACCAATAGGGCAACCTCTGTGCTAAATTTAAACACACAGATACATATTGATTTGGTGTCTCAGCCTTCATTTCCTCCTCCGTTTCCAACCCCTGTAGGGATGTGTTGCCTACCACAGTAGTTCTCCAGGGTGCATCGGAACCACCTGGGGCTTGTTAAAACAGATTGCTGGGCTTTGTCTCCAGAGTCTCTGCTTTGGCAGGATCTGGGATGGGGCCTAAGAATAGGAATTTCTGACAGGTTTCCAGGTGATGCTGATGCTGGTGGCCCAGAACCACTGGCTCACCACTGTAGTTCTGCCTCAGTTATGGGGCTGCCATAGAAGACAGGAGGGGGTGTGTGTAGGCCAGCCTCCAGGATTCCAGATTCTGACATGATAGAATGGTCTGTCATGTTAATTTTCTATTTAGACATTTTAATGGTTTTCTGCTGCTCTTAGAATGAAGGCCAAAATCCTCAATATAAACCTTCAAACATTTGTGTGGTGTGGTCTTTTTTCTCTCTTCCTTTTTCTTCCCTCTCTATGCTTCCCTCCAACTCTTTGTGCTCTAAGCTTGCTGTTTTTTGTCTCTGATGCAGGGCCTTTGGCACATGTCATTGCTTTTGTTTTGCCAACCTTTTTTCCTCCTGCTTTGAACAGTTAACTCTGAGTTGTTAATTAGCTCAAGGATTATTTTTAAAAATTTTCTTGACTTCCCCAAGAAATCAAATCCTGCCAGTATAGACTTTCTCAGCATTACATATTATTCCTTTTAACACTTTGTGTTGAGTTATGATTTGACATATGGCTTCATTATGATTTTGTCTCATATGTTTTTTTCCCACATTTTAAATGAGTGAATTATAGTTGTACTTGATGGTGGGATTTGTTGTTACATATTCTTACATGCACACAATATAACAATATCATCTTCATGTCTTCTTTACTGTCCTTTTTGCTCCCTGAAGGCAGAAACTTGTCTGTTTCGCCTCGCCTCGTGATTGTCCTCTGGCTCAGTGCCTGCATACGGCTTTTATTTCTTCAGTAAATCTGTTTGAATAATCAAGTGAACTTTGTCTCCAGAATGTGTCCTGCTCTGTTTTGCTGCTCTGTTCCCTTTGCAGGTCAGAGTTGAGGTCCATTTCTGTGGAGTCAACTTTGCTGACATTTTGGTCTGTCGTGGCCAATATCAGGAGAAGCCCCCTCTTCCCTTCACACCTGGTGAGTATGGGGGACCAGGTGACTGCTGCTTCAAGAAAAGAAGATTCCGAGGGTTTTCAGAACCCCATGCATCTTCCCAGACACTGCTCTTGTGGTGTTTGCCTGTCCTTGGCGAGGTTTCTGTTAAGATAAGTCAGCATCATTGCTAAAACCACTAGAGTGTAACCCCCACCCCCGCAGGGTAGTTTCTATATCTGTCTTGCTCAACATTGTGTCCCTAGCTTAGGGACCATTGTGTACCTGGCTCAGAGTAGATGCTCAGTAAAAACTTTAAAATGAATAAATGAACAGATAAATGTTTACACGTCATTATGTCCACCAGAATTCTGCTCATGAGAAACATCGATCCCCTCATCATGCTCATTCCTTCCTTGACAGTGCCTCTTGTTTTTTCATTGAACCATCACAAGCATCTAAGACTTTCAGTCTCACAAGCACACGCCTAGTGAAACCTAATGCGAGAGGATCAAAAAGAAGAAAAACAGTTTACCCTGTTTAGTGACCCAGTGTCTGATTTTCACGATTCCCAATCTCATTACTTCTAGATCATGGACAATGACTGATTTTTGTTATTCAAGTTGCTTTAAAGAGATACAGATAGAGCTTAGCATATTTACATTATATCTTATGTATATACATATTATTGAGAGTTCAGTGATTGCAAAATAGTTGCCATGTTTTGGTCTGAAGGTATTGGATTTTGCCTTAACATTTGGAACCATTTCCTTTTGTTTGTATTAGCTAAAATGCTGAATAGGGGAAAGATGTCATATACAATTGAGTTATTTCCTGGCAGGTCAGGTAGGAAATGCATGATCATTAAATTCAGAAATATCAGATGTGGGAGAAGAAAGGTCACGCAACCCTGATTCATCCAGTTGAGCCAGTACTGTCTGAATAAACAGTTCATGTCCTGGAGGGCCACACACCAGCAAAGGAGACGTAGAAACAGATAAATAAGATATGATAAACACGGTAACTGGGAGCTCTAGGAGCCTAAGGCCCCAGTGATCAGGGTCAAAAGTTGCTGTGTACCTGTGATATTGACACTCTGTGCTTTACACATCACAGTCAAGCCTGGGACTGCCACAGGTTTCCAGGGTGTGACAATGACATCTTATGCTCACTTTCCTGTGCTTTGAGTATGCTTTTCACACTGCTAGGTAAAAGTAATGGTACTTAAGACCTTATCAGTTCCTAAAAGCTGATGGATGGCCTGATAATCAAGGTCTTCTCATTGCCATGGGGCTGAGTTTTACAGATAATCTAATCTTTCAACCATGTTTTAGGAATGGAGTTTTCTGGGACAGTACTGGAGACAGGCGCGGATGTCAGCTCAGTGAAAGAGGTAAATGAGTTGAAATCCAGAGAATCGACTGTGTATGTAGCTATGAGAAATGTGCTAATCTCATTTGTGCCCCAAAGGTCTTGCTTCTCCTGGCCTTTGTCAGCAGACACTATAAGAAAATAGAGAGAGTTCTGAACTGGGGGGAAGGAGTTGGGTGGAAGTTTCTGGCTTCATTAAACTCTTCATTATGAATTCTCAAGTTTGAGCCTCACGTGATAGACGTTCACACGGGGATTCTAATTCATACCCACCTTTTCCTTACCATACCCCATTCTTGTCCAGAATATGCTCAGATTGGCTTGGAAACTGGGTGGCAGCATTGAGAGAGCTGTTGTTTTATTTACTAAACATTAACTCTGAATAGATAGGAAGGCTAGCCTATGTCTTGTGGGCCAGAGATGGGCATTTTTCTTTTATACCTTGACTGATTCAGGAAGAGGTGAATGTAAGGCCATGCATTTGAACATACCCTGTTGTTGTTTTCCGTTCAGGGAGATCGAGTCATTGGTGTGAGTGGCTTTAATGGGATGGCTGAAGAATGCATCGCTGACCAGAAGGTAGCCCTCTCTCCAGATCAATGCTTGGAGGGTTTTCCTCCTTTGTTTCCTTTAATTTCCACCCCTCCCTCATTCCTCTTCTTCCTCACTCCCCATTTCTTGTTTCTCAGCCAACTACTTTTTTTTTTTTCCTGCAGTGCTAAATCCCTTCTCTTTATTGGTTTGACAACCTTTGCACAGAGCTTTGTTTGTGTGGAGTGTTTTCATGAAGAAGGGCACTTTGTTTCTGGAGTGCCTGAGCAATTGGCTGGCAGTCCAGTTGGAACATAGGTAGTTTTGGTAGAAAAACTGGTTGGGCGCATTGGCTTCTTCCCCCAACAAAGCTTATGAAAGAGATAGCCCTGGGAATGCAGCCAGCCATGGTGGCCTTGTGTGGTGGAGCAAGATGTGGGCTGTGCCCCCAAATGGTGCACAGTACACGATCCCCCGCCGTGGCTTTGTTGAGGTGAAATTTATGTACCGTACAATTCACCTCTTACAGTACAGCGAGTTGTGGTCTGTTCTCCATAAATTGGTTCTTTTTGAGCCAGAGGCCAGCCTTAGGGTTTTGAGGTCTGATGCACCCAAGTCCTGGACTCTGGTCTTGACTTCCACTGGTTATTCCCATTTCAAGTCAGTCACTCAAACCACAGTATTTCCTGAGTAGCCTTTGCAGGTACATGTGCCTAATCCCTAAGCCACTGTTATCTCTTTATAGACCTTGTGGCGGGTTCCAGAAAAGGTCTCCCTACAAGAAGCTGCCGTCCTACCTGTGTCTTATGGCACTGCTATTTTGGCTCTAGAGCATCGGGCCCATACCCAGCCTAGGTAAGGACTATGAAGCCAGTAGGGGGTTGGGTTGTACCCTTCCCTGATCCTAGAAGTGCCCAGTAAGACCTTCCCCAGTCCCTTCCCTTCTCTCTCCTTCCTGCCCCTTCTTTCCTTTTTTCTCCCTTTCCTTCAGCTCATCTTCACTTTGGCCGAGGAAAAGGCCAAAGGAGGTAACCACTGGACACTGTGGTATGGTGACTGTGAGGGCATCATTTTGAGAGGGAATGGTAGATGGTGAACTTGGCCCGTATGAATTTGGAAGCACAGCTTTCTTAAACCTGAGTTTAAGAGTACTTCCTAGAAAACCTTAGAATTGGGAGAGTTGGTTTGTTTAAACTCACTTCACAGGGGTTTACTGGAGGCCTGTGGGGTGTAAGGCTCGGTGGTGTGTGCCAAGTGGAGTGTTTTAGACTCCGGTGCTGAAATTTCTGGTGTTACCTGGGACACTGCCTCTTGATCTTTTCAGAGAGCTGACCCTCAGAATTGCTTCTGACTGGTGGGTCCAGGTGAGTGGTCGCCATGACTTGACCATCATCAAATTGGGCAGTGTTTAGTAGGATCATGATTTCAGGGCAGAGTTTCTGAAGCATATATTGGACTGGTTGCTCAAACGAGCAGTTGCCCCTGACAGGAGTTGAGGAGGCGACCTAGAGAGATTGGGGAATCTTTTTCCTGGGGAATCTTCAGAACTGGATCAGATTAGCACTGATCTAAAAGTCACATACGTAATCCACCCCTCAAGACTGGGGAACATATGTACAGGAAGGTTTGAATGAAATGCTCTCTTAATGTTCTTGCTTTAAAATATTTAGTTCCAGAATGTTCCTGAAGTCATTACTGGACGAGTCTTGAAGGTATCTGTAGTAACTTTCATCTTTCTTTGGCACAGAGAAACTGTTTTAGTAACGGCAGCAGCTGGAGCCACGGGCCTTGCAGTGATAGATGTGGCAACAAATGTTCTTCAAGCCAAGGTATTTACATGTTTGGAGTCTCTACTTTAAAACAAAACAAAACAGGGCTGGGGTTGTGGCTCAGTGGTAGAGCGCTCGCCTAGCATGTGCGTGCGCCCTGGATTTGATCCTCAGCACCACATAAAAATAAATAAGGGTATTGTGTCCAACTACAACTAAAAAATAAATAATAAATAAAAATCAAAACCAAAATTAAACAAAATGAAAAAACCTACCTTCAGTTTTAGACATGGGATATATTCCTTAACTTGTTAAAAATCATATGCAGTGCACTGAGGAGATAAAGCAACTGGGAGTGGGGTCTGGCCATCTGTTTGCTTAGCCTGGTGAGCAGCCTAGTAGTACATTGCTTGTCCTTTCAGTTACTGGAACCCGGGGAGGGCTGCCTTGCAGATGCTATCTTCTCCACCTGTCATTCTCTGAACCGCCTCCCCCTGCAATTCAGATCTAAACTCATGTGTTATCTTTTCAGAGAAGTATTCTGTGTCGTCAGGCTGGGTCAGGCTCCTGTCCCCACTGTTTGTGATCTCACTACACCCTGCACTTCTCTTTCTTCATACACACCTCACTGCATGGTTACCTTTTCTCATGTTATTGGATTAATGTCTCTTCCTATCGGACTGTAACCCCATGAAGGCAGGGAAGTGTCGGTGTGGTTCATCACTGTGCACTAGTACCTCATGTGGTACCTGGAACTTGGTAAGCATTCAAGAACTATTTTTTGAATGAATGAACAATGAATGAATCGAGAAAAGAATGAAGGAAGGAATCCAGTTTCTATAGGGGCATCTCTCTGAGGCTGCGGGTATCAGAGAAAGAGTGCTTTTTGGAGGAGGGAGACATTTAAGACAACTTCCAGAGGACTGGCAGCAGTTGAATAGAGGAAGAATGGAGGAAGAGCCTTATTCTAGTGGTGGGGGACATTTTTAGAAGACCAAGAAGTAGGAACTGGCACCATGCATTTTAGAGAATCGCAAACTAAGGACTTGGGGTGGAGTGGTGGAAGGTGACTCTAGCAACGTGGGCAGAGAGGAGGTCTGAGCTAGCACAGAACTGAAAACTTTGAATGTTTATTGGAAGCGGTTGGAAGCTATTGAGAATTTCAGGTAAGGAAGCGACAGGATCATCTTTGCATTTTACTTGGTAGCCATGGGGAGGAGGGATGGGACGAGGTCAGAGGTAATGGAGGCAGGGAGCAGGGTGGGCTCCTGGAATAATCCAGGCAGTGGAGGCCATGAAGTGAGTCGTACTCAAGTGGGAAAAAAATAGATTGGTGACTAGAGAGCATCCAAGTAGTCAAAGAACAAAAGCTTTCAAAGGTGGCCAGCCCCCTGGAGGTTCTCATTCCAGCTCTTAATAGCATCCGTTTCCTCTTTTATAAAATAATTGTGGGAATATTGAGAATTACACGTGCAGTGCTCCTATTTGAAGGTGTGGCCTGTCATTAAGAATCTTTTAAAAATGAACCCTAATGAATGTCTAATAAGAAATATTATTAGGCATAAAGTGGGAAGGAGCAAAGTAGGTTAGCGTGTGGGGTTGCCACAAAAGGAATTGAGAACAAGGAAATGGGGAGTTCAGTTTGGATGTGTTGAGTGCAAGGCTCCTGTGGAGCATGTGATTGGAATATTGAGGTAGCAGTTAGACAGTCAAATTTGGAAGTAATTGGATTGGACTGGAGCTTCTTCAGGTGGTGTGTCTCCTTTCCTGTGAAGTTACTTTGGGAAGGACCTGTGAATCTGGAGAGCAATCTTGGATACTAGGAGGCTCTTCTTGAAATGTGAACACATCCTGTGTGAGCATGAAGGGTGTTTAGCTCCTCTTAGGGGAGAGACCATAATTAGTCTCGTTGTCTAGAGTCATCGAAGATTTAACATTTCTAGGAAGATAAAATTGTACCATTTGTCTCAAATAGTTCTGAGAGATTAAGTAGAAAAAAATTGATTTAATTCAGATATTGAAATCAATCTGAGCTATATTTTCTTTCACAGCAAGAATGGTTCTAAACAGAAGTAAGCAAAAATAAAAGTAAAAGCAATGTTACCACACCACCTGCTTGGAAGAGGTTGCTTTGATAACACCTTCCATCCACAGCATTTCATATGCACCCAGAGTGCCTCTGTAGCAATTGTCTTACCCTTGACCCTCGCAAACCCCAGAGAGATAGACAATATAAGTGTTTATTATCCCTGTTTCACAGATGAAGAGAAAGAGCCACCAAGAGAGAAAAGAATTCACTGCAGGTGTCATGGAGTCCCAGTGAGAGTCTTGGGATGGAAATCAGGTGCTTGACCCTAGTCTAGCCCCCCCAGTGAACTGTGCTATTTTGAGAGACTACCAGGGAACTTTTGAGGGTAGCTTCTAGTTTCAAATAGTTACAGGTGAGTTTGGAATTCTTTAAGGGCATCCATATTCTTGGGGTGTTTGTGCAGGTCCTGGGCATTACTTGGAGGGCGAGGTAGTCAGGCTGGTGGCCTTGCTCACTGATGAGGCACCTGTAGCTGATGCTTGACTATTTGCAGCTCTTTTGGAATTCCTGCAAAGGGCCCTCAGCCATCTTGGCTGTCCATGTTGGGCCTTATGCACCGTTTTCTCCTAGGATGATGGAGTAGGAAGCCTGGGCTTTGAAGAAAGGCCTGACTTTGAATTGTTGTTCTACCATCTTCTTCCTGGATGACCCTGCTTGATTGTTGAACCTCCCTGAGTCCCTGTTTCTGCCCATAGAGTGAAGTAATTATACTTCCTCCATAAAGTTCTTCTGAGTCCTAAGAAGAATACGTGGTTGCCTGCATGTAACAATAGATACGATTTATCTCACACTTTGTTTTCCAAGTGCCTTATACACAATGTTCCATTTAATTTTAAAAATAAGTCTTTGAAAGAAAAAAAAAAAAACCCATGCAGTAACTGAGACCCGGAGAAGCAGACAGGCTGCACAGGTTAGATGTGAGGACTCTGGAGACGGTTCCCTGGGCGCGGATCCCAGTTCTGCCTCCTGTTGGTGTGTGACCTTCCTCAGCTCCTTTCCCTTCCTTTGCTTCTGTCCATAACAGGGATATTAATAGCATTTCCTTGGGGCTATTGTGATTAAATGAGTTATTAATTTATGTTAATCATTTGGAATGGTGCTTGACAAATGGTGACACAGTATGTTAGTTCTCAGTAATTTGCCCCGGGTGACACGGCTAGTAAGTGGCAAAGCCAGGATTTGAACCAAGTTCTGACTTCAGGATCCTTCCACCAAATCATGATTTACCCTCTGGGAAGCCTTTCCTGATCTAGTCTAGATTGGATACCTCTTGTTTTTACTTCTGGAGCCCTGTGTCCCGCCCCAGCACACTGCTGGACCTTGTCCCCTTGACGGAGCTTGGTGTCCCACTTGTATCTTTGGGACCTGACTCGTGGTGGGTGCTCTGTAAACGGTGGCTTTCATTGGCAGTTGGAGAGAACTTTTGGAGTGTCTTTAGAGCCACCTCCCACCTAGAACTGTTGGGTTCCAGATGGACCTCATGGCCGGTGGGGCATGGAGGGGCCTAGGGAACAATGCATTTGTTGGGCCTCACGTGGATTCGGGCCGATGCTTGGACAGCAAGCTGGTACTGGTGTCCGTGACTAGCACCTTGGCCGCGGGCTGGGGAGATGGGGTGTGCTCCTCCTGGAGCATGTTCTGACCATCCTAAACCTTGTGTTCTTTGTGTAGGTAATCGCTGCGGCCGGAAGCGATGACAAGTGCAAGCTGGCGGTGCAGAGGGGCGCGCAGGGCAGCGTGAACTACAGCCAGGGCAGCCTGAAGGAGGCCGTGAGGCGGCTGGCGGGCAGCCGTGGGGTGGACGTGGCCATCGACATGGTGGGAGGAGAGGTCTTCCTGGAGGCCCTCCGCAGGTGGGTGCGTGCAGTGGTCCACCCAGAGGGGCCTGAGCTGACCCTTCCACACCTGTCTTCCTCCTGGCCTTGCTCCTCTGTGGTTTGTGCTGTTGGCTTCTCCCCTCAGGCGTCAGCATCAACGAGAATAGCCGAGTGAGTGGGTGACGGGGAAGAGAAGCAGAGAAAATCAGGAAATCTTAAATATAGCAGAAAACAAAATACCCAACTGGAAAATATCCAAAAAATGACTGCAGACTCTCAAGTTGGCAACATCAAGTGCTTTAGAAATTATACATGTGTGAATTCCGCTCCGTGGGCCCCACTAACTACTGCATGTGCGTGAATGTGGAGGGTCCCAGAGGAGGCCATGTTCAGGGTTGGCATCCCAGGGTGGCAGTTCCCTTTGCCCAGTTCACGGTGAACCAAGGGACAGGCTCTTCTGAATGTTTCCTTGATCTATTAAAAATTATGACACTGGAGACTTAGTGGGGCTAAGTCTGTTGTTTTCCATACCAGTTCTCATTGTGTTTTCAACCAGAGTGTTTGGAGTATTGTGGGAGTGCTGGTTTTATTTCTCATGTCATCCTGGAAAGATCATGTTGTGACTTATTTCAGTTTAAAGCTAAAGAAACAGAAGCAGAGAGATTATCCTACCTGCAGAAGACAGGCGGGCAGTGTACATGTTGATGATCACCGCATGGTGCCTGGTATTGTGTTTAGAGGGGAAGCGAAGGAAGAGTGTGGACCAAATGAGCCCCCCCTTCTTTTCCCTTTGTAATCAGGGTCACTCTGCCACTAAGCTACACCCTCAGCCTTATTTTTAAATTTTGAGACGGGGTCTTGCTAAGTTTCTCAGGTTGGCCTCAGACTTGCAATCCTCCTGTCTCAGCCTCCCAAGTCCCTGGGATTACAGGTGTGCACCATTATGCCCCGCTTCGGATAATTGTGTTTTGACAATAGCTTCCCTTTCTCTTCTGAAGAAGAAGAGCAAACAGGCAAAGATGTTTACAGAAGTTGTTTTTAATGGCCTGTTGTGTAACATGTGTACACTGCGTGGTACTTTTTATAACAGAGAGTAGAAAACTTGTGAATTTTTGTAAATTATTCGGAATTCATCAAAGAAGCACCATGACTAGAGTCGTACAATAAGTGGTTGTGTAAAGTGTGATCTTTCATTTCTGATCCTGATTCTAAGTTTAAAATCTTCAACTGGTCTTGAAGTATAGCCCATGGGAGGACATTTGCTTCTGCCCAATTTCCTCCCACAAACGAGTCAAGGAGGTTAAATAGATTCTTGATCCTAAAGTGGGCCCCCTTGTGAAAGTGTAGTCCCCTAATATCTCGCTCACGGCTTATTTAAACGTTTTTCTCCTGAGGAATCCAAGATAGTAAAGGATTGGTCTTCCAACTTATAAGGTCAACGCAAGTTCCCAGCCATGGCTTTAATACAAGTTGCTTTTTTCTTTAATGTGATGAAATATACATAATCTAATACTTAGCATTTTAGCCATTTATAAGTGTACAGTTCCTTGTAACTATATGTGCTCACCGGGTTTGTGACCCCCATCACAGGCTCTGACCCATTAAGTCAGCACTGCCTCTTTCCCCTTCCCCCAGGCCCTGGAGACATTTCTTCTATGGTTTGTCTCTAGGGATCGGTGGACAGTGTTAATTCTCCTTTTTTTTTTAATTGTGGGTGAAGAAACATATAAGATAAAATCTACCCATCCTATCCTCTTCTTCTTGTGCAGTTCAGTTGTTAAGTCCATTCTTACTGTTCTGCAATGGATCTCTAAAACTTTTCGTCTGGCAAATATGAAATCTTACACCCATTAAACAACTCTCCACTTCCCTCCTCTCCCTAGACCCTGGCAACCCAATTCTACTCTCTGTTTTTATGAATTTGACTACTTCAGGTATCTCGTTTAGGTGATCATATAGTATTTGTCTTTTTGAATCTGACTTAATTCACTCAGCACAATGTCCCAGAGGGTACCAAGTTAAACATGTGACAGGATTTCCTTCCTTTTGAAGGTCAAATAATATTCCATTATATGTGGAGCTGAGGTTGTGGCTCAGCAGTAGAGTGCTTGCTTAGCATGTGCTAGGCCCTGGGTTTGATCCTCAGCACCACATAAAAATAAATAAATAAAATAAAGGTATTGTGTCCAACTACAGCTAAAAAAAAAATTAAAAAAAATTCCATTATATGTATATCCAAATTTTCTTTATCCATTCACCAGTCAAGGAACAATACTTAGCTTGTTTCCATGCCTTGGCATTTGTGAATAGTGCTGCTATGAACACAGGTGTGTGAATATCTCAAGACCCTGCTTTTGCTGGGATTGGTGGTGCACGCCTGTAATCCAGCAGCTTGGAAGACTGAGGCAGGAGGATCACAAGTTCAAAGCCAGCCTCAGCAACTTAGTGAGACCCTGTTTCTAAATAAAATGTTTGAAAAAGGGCTGGGGATGTGGTTCAGTGGTTAAGCGCCCCTCTGTTCAATCCCTGGTACCAAAAAAGGGAAAAAAAAAAGACCCTGCTTTTAACTTTTCTGCATGTATACCAGAAGTGGAATTTCTGCACCTATTTTTAATTTTCCAAAGAAACTTCATATTGTTTTCTATAGCGTTTGCACGTTTTATAATCCCACCAATGGTATGTGAGGGTTTCAGTTTTCTCCACATTCTCCCCACACTTGTTGTTGTTATTTTTTCCTACAGTAGCCATCCTAATGGGGGCAGATGCCATTGTATCTCATGGTTCTTTTTTTGCCCCTCAGCCTGGCGTGGGAGGGCAGGATCGTGGTGCTGGGATTTGCTGGAGGAAACATCGCCTCCGTGCCAGCTAACCTGCTGCTCCTGAAGAACATCTCTGCCATGGGCCTGTACTGGGGTCGGTACCAAGACCAGGACTTTCCCGTCTTCTCCAGGAGCCTGTCCTCGGCCCTCCAGTACTGCCAGCAAGGGCGCATCCGACCGTATGTGGGGTCGGTGTTTAAGCTGGAGGAGGTGAGACTGCTTTGGGCATGTGGTTCAGATGAGGCTAAGGCCAGGAAACAGTCTGTGCTGAACTGCTGGCCAGTTGACCTCTGGATGCTGTAGATGCTCCTTTTATGGACTGAACAGGTGAAAACACGGCACTGAATTGTGGGTTTCGTGGCTTCTGGGCCACAGGATTTCTGCCAGTCTTCTGGGTTGGTGGCTGTCAACTCAGCACAGTGTGAAACTGAATTTCGAGGTGCTTCACCTGTACACTGGTGTCTCAAATGCAGGAATGGTACAGTGCTTTAGGAAATAATTTACATGTGTTGATGTGAACCTTGAACTCCATACACACAAGCCTAAGAAGGGAGCACTCCGCTCGACCTTTGATTTTCAAATATAGACGCTTTGAAAGTACAGCCAGATGATCTGTGCTGGGGTTCTGTGAGCAGAACACTCAGTCATGCCTGGCATCCTTGGACTCTACATCATCCCTTAGTCACTGTAGTTACATTTTTTTGGCAATTCATTCCCTTTTTTTCCTTTCCCCCTCTGTCTCATTAATGTGGCTTCAGCTTCCTCCAAAGTGTAATTGCGTGCATGCATTGGCAATGTGGTTCTGATTGCAGATCTGTTAGGCATTCACTGTGAAGTCTTTATTACTTTTTGCCTTAATTTGTTTTAATGTTCAAAAAACTGGTAGCTCGAGTCGGCGTGGATGGAGCCGGTGTTTGGTTTAAATGCAGATGCGGTGGAGGTCAAGTGGTCAGTGCCACACCTGAGTTTTATGTTTTTTTTTTTTCCTCCTGTGATGAGGCACCTTTGATTTTCATACTCAGTTTACTTCTTTTTTAATCTTTCCGATGTGTGAGTCAAAAAAGAAAGTGCGTGTTGGTGAAGAGGACCTGAGCGGCCATCAGGAAGCTGGCTGGTTCTGGCTCTGCTTTGCTCCTCTCGTCGCTCTGGACTAGTCCCTCACTCTTTTGAGCTTCCGTTTCCCCAGCTCTAGAATTAAGGGGAGGATGTTGCTGGTGGCTCTTGGAGCAGGGGTCAGGAGCCACAGAGGGACGCAGTGGGCAGGTGTGGACTGGAGCTGTCTGGGCCCAGGGGCTGCGTCTCGCCAAGGCCGGAGAGCTGCAAAGCTCGTTTTTTTTTTTAATTCTCTTTTAAGAAAAGTCTCCACTGTGGATACTTTCCAGGTCCCTTGGGCCGTGTGGCTTTTATCTTCATGTGACCTGTAGCCCGAGGTTGGGCGTACCTGAGGCTGCAGACACCTGTTGTCGAGGGGAAGGACAAGCAGGCAGGGTGGCAGCGGAGAGGAGTGTTGCTGTGAATTGTCTCCTGTCCCCACTCACGTGGTTTCAGTGGTGCTCAGACAGGGGAAAAGAAGGCTGGGGGTGGACTGTCACTTTAATTGTCCACACCGAAGCTCTCTGTCATGTGAGCTAGCTGTATCATCACTTGCCTCCTGTCCCATCTGCCCTTGGCTCTCCTGTGAGGGCTCTGCACTGGGGCTTTTGAGTCTCTTCCATTCCCTCAACTTCAGCGTCATCGGTGGCCTTTGGAGCCAGGCTTCTGGGCACATTTCAAACATCTCACTCGCACACCATCCGCTTGCTATTTCTTATTTTTCTATTTCTTTTAATATGTAAACTACTTGGGGGAATAATCAGTAATAATATGCTAAGCGCTTTGCACGCATGATCTCATTTAACCTTCAGAAGGGCTCTCTGAGGTATGAACCATTTTATCACATTTTACAGATGAAGAAATCAGACTCACAGAAGCTAAGAAATCTGCTCAATGATGCATAGTAAGTGTCAGAGATGGTACCCAGGCCCTGCTGGCCTCATGCTCCAATCTGGGCTCTTTACGGCCATGTCACACTCTCTCAAGAATGCTGTGAAGTCACTTCTTCCAAAGTGTATTCTGTAGGATGACGTTTATCCTTCTATCACAGAATTATCTATGCAAAAAAGCTATATTTATTTAAAATGATCAGGACTCTTATATTTTCCTGAGCAGAACTAGGGTTTATGTATTTTGTTCTTTTAAAATGAAGATGATGACATAAATGCATAATTAATTTCACTGAACTTTAAAGCCTGGGTAATATTTTTTCATGTAAATTCGTTCACATACTGGAAACGTTATTTGTAAGAACCTGTTTGGGCTTGAAAAATAATCACTGAACTTACAAAATATATGTAGTCTCAGAAATGCTGGCTCTTCTTAGCTTGTATTTTCTGGTGCTTCCTGGCTTCTATTTTCTCCTAAATATGTGGTCTTGCAGATTTGACCTTGACAGTTTTTACTACTGTGACCACAGAGGTGGCACCATAGCCAAAGCCACCCTGAACATCCATAGCATTGTTGCCCTTTCATCTGTGTGTGGTTACTTATTCAATGTGCATCTCTCCCGTAAAGCATAAACTCCACACAGGTGGGGCCAGGTGTGGCCAGCACCTCTGTATTTCCAGGTTCCTGCAGGAATCCACATTTCTGCTGCATGACTGAGCTCTGAGGTCACACCACCAGAGTGCAGATGCTGGCTGTGGGCAGATCGGACATCTTTTTCCTTGTCTGTAATAGGCAGTAATGTACCCTGAATCCCAGGGTGTTTATGAGGATTAAATAAGACAATATATATGAAAGAACAGCAATATATGATTGTATCCTTTTCTCCACATCCTTGCCAACATTTATTGTTGCCTGTATTCTTGATGATTGCCATTCTGACTGGAGTGAGATGAAATCTTAGTGTAGTTTTGATTTGCATTTCTCTAATTGCTAGAGATTTTGAACACTTTTTCATATATTTGTTGATCAATTGTATTTCTTCTTCAGTTCCTTAGTCCATTTATTGATTGGGTTATTTGTTTTTTTTTTTTTTTTTGGTGTTAAGTTTTTTGCATTCTTTATATATCCTAGAGATGAATGATTCATTGTAGGTGTGTACAGTAAAGATTTTCTCCCAATCTGTAGGCTCTCATATTATTGTTTCCTTTACTGAGAAGAAGCTTTTTAATTTGAATCCATTCCATTTATATTGAGTCTTGATTTTACTTCTTGTGCTTTAGAGGTCTTGTTCAGGAAGTCAGATCCTAAGCTGACGTGGTGAAGATTTGGGCCTACTTTTCATCTATTAGGCACAGGGTCTCTTTCTAGTGCCTAAGTCTTTGATCCACTTTGAGTTAATTTTTGTACAGGGTGAGAGATAGAGGTTTAATTTCATTTTGCTACATATGGATTTCCAGTTTTGCCAGCACTATTTGTTGAAAAGGCTATCTTTTCTCCAGTGAATATTTTTGGCACCTTTGTCTAGAACGAGATAACAATATTTGTGTGGGTTTGTCTCTGTGTCCTCTATTCTGGGCTATTGGTGTATGTGCTGGTGGGACTGCAAATTGGATAACCACTGTGGAAAGCAGTAAGGAGATTCTGTCTGACCCAGCTATCCCTCTCCCTGGTTTATACGTAAAGGACTTAAAAATCAGCATACTACAATGATGCGGCCACATCAATGTTTATAGCATCTCAATTCACAATAGTTAAACCATGGAACCAACCTAGTTGTCCTTCAATAGATGAATGGGTAAAGAAAATATGATATATATATGCAATGAAATATTACTCAGTTTTAAAGAATAATGAAATTATGGCATTTGCCAGTAAATGGATGGAGTTGGATAATATTATGCTAAGTGAAATAAGCCAATCCCCAAAAACCAAAGACTGAATGTTTTCTCTAATATGTGGATGCTAATTTACAAGAAGGTAGGAGGCCTTGGAGAAGAATAGCATTACCTTAGATTAGGTAGAGGGAAGTGAAGGGAGGGGAATGGAGAGGAGGGGAGGGGATGTGGGGATAGGAAGGATAGTAGAATGAAGCAGACATTATTGTTTTATGTATATATATGACTGTGTGACCGATGTGTTGCTACAATACATATACTCAGAAAAAGAGAAATTATATCCCATCTATGTATGATACATCAAAGTACATAAATGCATTCTACTGTCATGTGTAACTAATTAAAACACATGAAAATTTAAAAATTTAAAAAAAGAATGTAATGAATTCACTAAGTTTTAATGCACAGGATGTCATTATTATAAGATACAGGATTGAGCTTTTTCTTTTTCCCCCGAACTATATAACACTTTTGCATTGACGACCCAGAGGGTAGGATTAGAGTGATAGTCTTTGGGTTTTGGATTTGAACTTGAAGTTAGTATTTTCTAAAGGGTGGTATCTGCCTTTGAGGAGTGTGTTATGAATTGGCCCATGATCTGTTCAGAGGATGCCTGTGCAGATGTGCAGGTTGCGTTTTCTGTATGAGGTTGTCCACACACATCTCGACCTGATGTAGCACCTGAACCTCACAGATCTAACTTGTTTATTATGAAGGTCAGGTGAGATCACCACATGAACAGAATTAATAGGTAGAAACTGTTTGCTTCAAGTTTTCTCTATGTATCTATGACGTTCTTAAAAACGAAACAGCTCTTTTAATTCAGTTGGTATATTATCACCTCTTATTCTAGACCTCCTTTATGGAACTCTCCATATCAGCTGGTCCCCCATCCCAGGCTTTGGGTGCTTGGCTGCTTGTCACTTCTTTGGGGACAGCTCCTGCAGTGGCTCCCTGCAGTCCTATAGCCTAGACCACCTCCCCTAGGGTGCACCTTCTTAAAACCCTGGTTGTCTCGTGCTTGCCTGGAGTGAGGCCTGATCCTAGAGGCAGGGCTTTCACTGGGTTCTTATCTGGGGCTGCTGCAGCTTGATCCAAATGGACCTGTCGAAGCCCCTGCTTCCCCAGAAGTGTGTGAGGGCTGGTAACGCAGCCCAGAAATGTGGGAGTTTGCTCACTGGGGAAACTTTGATGAATGAAAGACGGAGATAAGTTGCTCACCTTTCTCCCCCAGGGTCTGTTTCAGTGGTCTCTTGGTAGAGGTCCCATGAGAGCCACAGCCAGGACCTCTGAAGCTGCACCACTTCAGGACGGGCAGCGTGCCCCCTCGTG